AATTTTCAAGCGATTTCTATATTTTATTGCTAGTTTTTTAAAGTACTAAAACTCGGATAAGGTTAATAAATTTAAGCTATATTAAAGCACACCGGTTTCTATGTGTTGTTAGGGTGACACTAATTAAAGGATTAACTTTTATCAGAGATTTGCATTTTTTTACTGTGTGGATAAATACGGGTAGATTAGGATATTCATTGCGCGGGCGTCGCGGGTTATCCGTGCGGGAAGAGAGAAAGCGATTTAGACAAGACATGAGCGCTTTGCAGCCAAAACTTGAAAGACTTTGTGTGGAATCCTGTAATGGTTGTCAACTGTCAAGTCGGTCATCCTAGTCAAAGACAACATGACTGCCTCATGATGAACGAAAACGAACGAGGGCAAATAAGGAATCTATTCGTCACAAAAATCATATTTTAAATATATTTTAGACATATTTTAAACTAAACAGTTTCTAATCCCTGTTAAGATGACCGAGTCAGATCATAAGTAAGCTTATCAAGAACATAAGTTAGAATTGGAACAGTTGTAATATATTTTGCAATAAAAACATGTAATCGTTATATACGTTGTTATTTGTTGCTAAGTCATTAGCGACGCTTGCGTGCATGCATATATTAACGTACAACATATTTGTACACTAATCAGGCGGGCGGATCGCGCGGGTGGAAAAACGGGCTTTGCAGGCAAAAATTTACACAAGATTTCAGTTTTACAATTATTTCTTCAAAATGTTTTAACAAAATTTAGTACGGTCTACTTTTAAGAGCGTAACGTCTAGGTGATTCTTGCATATCTTCTGGGGATAACCTAAGATATCGAATGATATCCTAAGATATCGAATGATATCCTAAGATATCGAATGATATCCTAAGATACTGTATGATATCCTAAGATATCGAATGATATCCTAAGATACTGTATGATATCCTAAGATATCGAATGATATCCTAAGATACTGTATAATATCCTAAGATATTGTATGATATCCTAAGATATTGATATCCCAGCTAAGATATTGATATCCTAAGATACTGATATCCTAAGATACTGATATCCTAAGAAAATGATATCCTAAGGAAATGATATCCTAAGATACTGATCAGCTCCTTAGGCTCGGAGCCAGCTCCTTGGGCTCGGAGCCACCTCCTTGGGCTCGGAGCCACCTCCTTAGGCTCAGAGCCAGCTCCTTAGGCTCAGAGCCAGCTCCTTAGGCTCAGAGCCAGCTCCTTAGGCTCGGAGCCAGCTCCTTAGGCTCGGAGCCAGCTCCTTAGGCTCGGAGCCACCTCCTTAGGCTCGGAGCCACCTCCTTAGGCTCGGAGCCAGCTCCTTAGGCTCAGAGCCAGCTCCTTAGGCTCAGAGCCAGCTCCTTAGGCTCAGAGCCAGCTCCTTAGGCTCGGAGCCACCTCCTTAGGCTCAGAGCCAGCTCCTTAGGCTCAGAGCCACCTCCTTAGGCTCGGAGCCAGCTCCTTAGGTTCGGAGCCGAGCTCCTTAGGCTCGGAGCGGAGCACCGTTCTTGGGGACCTGTTTGGCTTTATTGTTTATTCACCAGGTGGCGAAGAGATAAACACGGCAGTCGCCAATAGGCGTTCATAAAGTGGACTATATTCTTATCAAACATTCGTTCTCCAACAATTCCAATTTGTTTCCTATCACTAGGACCTTGGTGGCTCCTATCTCCTATACTCCTAGCCCTACATCGACCCTAAATCGACCTCACATCGACCCTACATCGACCCTACATCGACCTCACATCGACCCTACATCGACCCCACATCGACCTCACATCGACCCTACATCGACCCTACATCGACCTCACATCGACCCTACATCGACCCCACATCGACCCCACATCGACCCTACATCGACCCTACATCGACCCTACATCGACCCCACATCGACTCCACATCGACCCTACATCCACCCTACATCGACCCTACATCGACCCTACATCGACCCTACATCGACCGTACATCGACGGTACATCGACCCTACATCACAGCTTAAGGAGCTGGCTCCGAGCCTAAAGAGCTGGCTCCGAGCCTAAGGAGCTGGCTCCGAGCATAAGGTGCTCGGCTCCGAGCCTAAGTAGCTTGGCTCCGAGCTTAAGGAGCTCGGCTCCGAGCATAAAGAGCTCGGCTCCGAGCTAATCAGTATCTTAGGATATCATTTTCTTAGGATTTCAGTATCTTAGGATATCAGTATCTTAGGATATCAGCATCTTAGGATATCAGTATCTTATGATATCAGTATCTTAGGATATCAATATCTTAGATGAAAGCAACCACGATGATGAAAGTAGCTATGATGAAGAATCAGAGAGCGAAACCCCTGAAACAAGTGACAACAACGTATATAACGATTACATGTTTTTATCGCAAAATATATTACAACTGTTCCAGTTCTAACTTATATTCTTGATAAGCTTACTTATGATCTGACTCGGTCATCTTAACAACATATATGTATGTAGAATATTTGCTAAAATAACGTTGAACAACATGTAAATATTAACCTTAACAACGACGTTGACAACTCGGGATTAGAAACTGTTTAGTTTAAAATATGTCTTGATTTTTGTGACGAATAGATTCCTTATTTGCCATCGTTCGTTTTTGTTCATCATGAGGCAGTCATGTTGTCTTTGACTAGGATGACCAACTTGACAACCATTACAGGATTCCACACAAAGTCTTTCAACTTTTGGCTGCAAAGCGCTCCTGTCTTGTCTAAATTGCTTTCTCTCTTCCCGCACGGATAACCCGCGACGCCCGCGCAATGAATATCCTAATCTACCCGTATTTATCCACACAGTAGAAAAATGCAAATCTCTGATAAAAGTTAATCCTTTAATTAGTGTCACCCTAACAACACATAGCAACCGGTGTGCTTTAATATAGCTTAAATTTATTAACCTTATCCGAGTTTTAGTACTTTAAAAAACTAGCAATAAAATATAGAAATCGCTTGAAAATTATATATCATAATCTCTAATTTCCATGTGTTTATATAACTCTAAACAGCAACATATTCTCTCGTATATAGACCTCATATGGCAGACCGGGATTTAAATATTAGTTTAATTGTAGATACATAATAACTCTTACCGCATGCTATTTCTCAGCGTTTTGACGCTTGATAATATTTATATATTACTTAACAACAAAACATATAGCTGTATACCCCGAATATATAAGTTTTAGATATATAACACTAATGCTATTTCATATAGTATCAGATTTTTTACTCCTCTAGGAGCTAAATTAAAGGAATCACTTGACAATAACAGCAAAATGATAGAGCTGTACTTATAAAACTCCAGACAACAACATATTCTCTTGTATATAGCCCTAAATATTGTGTCGCACACGAGAAGGGACGCTAAAAAATGCTTAGTCAGCAAGTTTCGTCCGATCGTGTTTAAGCTCGCCCGCGTGACGTCATTGCATATAATTATGACGTGTGTTAACGAGTGACGTCACTACGCACCCTCACTCCTCCTCACTCCTCCTCACTCCTCCTCACTCCACCACACTCCTCCTCACTGCTCCTCACTCCTCCTCACTCCTCCTCACTCCTCCTCAAAAATTAGGGTCGAACGGCCCCTATATTACTACTTTCCCCAGGGTGGGGATGGAATGGGTGATCAAATGACCCACATATGCCCTGTATATGCCTATATCTACTAAGATACAGCTTTCTAAAGAATAAGAAGACAGAATTGCATTCATTAATTGTTATGTATTAAGTTATTTAGTAATAATTTAATACATAATGGTGCATGATAATGTATTATTATAGGCATGTTATAATTAACAAACTGTTAATTTTAAGGATCACCAGAGTGTTTGGTCAGCATTCAAAAGAACTGGAAGCAACATTACGCCAATACAACCAAAACTACCGCGGGTAAGAAATGATAAAGACCCTCATGCGCGTTTAGAATGTGGAAAAGAACTTTCGCGGGGCAGAGATTCGTGCAAAAAGCGACATTGGGAACAGTCACACAAAGAAGATAAAACAAACAGATACAAAAATATGATTGTCCCCAAAAATCATGAAAGGGCTAGAGCTTTATTAAAAGAAAGAGCCTCATCTAAAAATCTTCCTTCTACATCCTGCTTTTGTTAAGATGATATTGAATTCCTTGATGTTGATGTTGATGATCATGATGACGAGGATGATCATAATGATGTCCCTTTCCTGGAAGAGAATATTGCCACTACAAACACCCAATCTCCCATGGATATGGAACAAGATTGTGATCTTTTAATGGGGGTAACACACCAGATGAAACGTCAGTCTTGGTTACTGAGCCACCAGTCTCAGCTGGAAGTCTGAAGAAATCATCAGTGCAGTCAACATTGTCAGCATTTATTGTCCCCAAAGAGAAACCCCAAGCTGCAATGGAGCAAATTCAGAGTGGCATTAATGAACTTTTAGTAAAAATTGAGAGCTTTCAACTTAAAGAAAACTATGTGAAAGTGAACAGATCAGATTTGGATTCCTGTAATACCACAGTACTGCAATCTACCAAAAGTCTTTTGGACATTTCCCATCCGGATATTAAAGTTGAAACCACTACTGATGGGTGTCGCATTACATGTGTTCCATGTAGTGAATATGCAATGTCCCGAGTCACTACTAATTTGTAAGCAAAAATTCTATTAATTTATAAATTATATATTAATTAAGGGCAAAATAAATCCAATATATTCACCTACATTTCAATATACTCAAATTACTTTCATCTCTTTATTAGTACTTCGGAAAATTCCTGGTCATTGGGTATGGTTTATCGTAAAGAGAAAACGATAAAGTTGATAGCAGGAAGCAACCAGGACTGGTACAATCTCAAGCAATCCCTGATTGAACACATCAGTTGCCATCCCACTAGAAGTTCTGGCCAAACACACTTAAAGGCAAAGCAATATGTCGAGGAGCCATATTTGTAGACCTTAGGAAGGCGTTTGACACCGTAGACCACTCCCTACTTTTGGCCAAGTTGGAGAGTTACGGCGTAGTTGAAAGTGAACTTGAGTGGTTTAGTAGTTACGTTAACGATCGATCGCAAATAGTTACCTTTCAGAATATGCAATCATTGCCATGTAATATTTCGTCGGGAGTACCACAGGGGTCTATTTTAGGGCCCCTACTGTTCGTCCTGTTTATTAATGATCTTCCAGCAGCTGTTCAACAACGCAATGTTATGATGTATGCCGATGACACGGGCTGGAAAATTTGAGAGCTTGGCTGATGGAAAACAAACTGTCTTTTAATAGGAAAAAAACAGAGACGGTATTGTTTGGAACTAATGCAAACTTATCAAAGGTAACTAATTATGAGCTCTCAATTGATGGCTTTCCATTGAAACGTGTAACTGATTATTGTTACCTTGGTATTACTTTAAATGCAAATTTGTCTTGGCATTCACATGTTGATAATGTAGCAATGAAAGTGGGCAGAAGAATTGGCGTGTTACGTCGACTACGGAACAACCTGACCCTAAATGCGGCGGAAACGGTTTATAAGTCGTTCATTCACCTTCTTATGGAGTATGGGGACAGTATTTGGACGTGCTGTGGTGAGCAAAACAAAGGAAGGCTCGAGATACTCCAAAAGCGTGCTGTCAGAGTGATTTCCAGGTACCCGCGAAGTGATAACGCAATGGAAAGCCTCAGATGGGACAGCTTAGAATCAAGAAGAGACGTACATGTTCTCAAACTGGTTAAAAAATGTATTCTAGGGAAATGTCCACAATTTTTTAATAATTATTTTGTTTTTAATCGTGACAGTTCCTCGCGAATAACAAGACAATCAGACAAACTTCGTTTGCCTAAAGTAAGAACTGAATGTGCAAAGAATTCTTTTTATTATTATGGATGCAAGGTTTTCAATAAGTCTAATTAAGTCGATTGGGACATATAGATAGTTAGTTTATTGTAGGGATTTTAGATAATTTTATACTATTTTAGATAAAACTGTATCAGTTGTAGATATACTGTATATTTTTCAGGGCCCCTAAGGTTAACAGTGACCATTCACTGATTGGGTCACCCTGTGTAAATAAAGATCTTACATACATGTTTTGAAGGAAAGAAAAAGACATGCTAGATGATGTTATATCAACAACAATATTATTGCTGCTGCAATTGCAGTTTGTAAAATGAAAGTTTCACCTCTTCATGTGAGACAATGGTGGGATTGCTCTCATTCCGTGGTGCTGAGATTGGAGATATTTGTCATGGGAGGTACTCTATGTTAATCACCTAATCAATAATAATTAAATACCAAATGTTGTTAAATTTATCTACAGTACATTAAAATTGGTTATTATTATAATTACCCCCTCCACCTATATACCCCCTCCACCTACGACCCCCCGTTTATTGAGTCACGCGACCTCCCCCTATGCACATTTAGAAATTTAATAACTGTTCCACTCACCAAACATACAACAAATACGAATAAGAGTCAAGTGAAACCCAACGATAATTCTCAATTTGTTCCAACACTATTACTCTCGAATACAATGTCACTGGCCCCAAAAATTGATGAAATAGCGTTTACTATACAACAGAAAGATATTCAAGTAGGCTCCTTTACTGAAACATGGTTGAAAGATTCAATCGCAGATGACCCAATTGCTATTTCTGGTTATCAACTATCTAGATTAGATCGCAAAAATAAGCAGCATGGCGGTGTGTGCTTATATGTGAATGAAGAACACTATTGAGAGTAAAACTTTGTCCGTACTACATAAGGAGGATTATGAAGTTCTGTGGTGTATACTACGACCTAAACGTTTACCTCGAGGTTTTTCAAATATTATTGCAGGTGTGCTTTATCACCCTCCAGGGGCGAATAACACAGCAATGAAGGAACACCTTAAATCATCACTGGAAATAATTGAAACACATTATCCAAATAGTGGCATAGTTCTGGCTGGTGATTTTAACCAACTCGATTTTAAATCAACTGCGAAACTTTTTAACTTAAAACCTGCTATAAATTTCCCTACTCGAGGAATTAATACTCTTGATCAGATTTTACCAATCTTAAAAACTTTTATAATCCAGCAGAAAGTGGTCCACCGTTTGGCTTATCTGACCATGTCACGATCACTATGATTCCAGCGAAACGTGCCAATTTACGACCCCAAAAAACGACTATAAAAGTACGGGATAAAAGACCAAGCAATGTTGCAAGCCTTGGCCGTTTCCTTTTAAATATCCCGTGGGAAAATATATTGTCATCTCTGCGATATTCTGATGACAAACTAACAACATTTACAGAAATAATAAATTATGGTTTAAATACCATAATGCCAGAAAGATCAATTGAAGTAAGTCCAAATGATCGTCCGTGGATGACTAGCCATTTGAAACGCCTTATTTTACAAAGACAAAAAGCATTTGCCTTAGGTAACAATTTCATGTTTAAATTGCTGCGAAACAAAGTAAATCGGGAAAGAAAACGTTGTCGCGCAATCAGTGTTTTCAAAGCTAGCGGTCCTGATGAACTCCCCAATTGGGTTCTAAAGAGCTTTTCTGACATTCTGGCACCTGCAATTACTGATATATTTAACGCATCCTTCCGTAAATGCAAGGTGCCGAAGGGATGGAAAATAGCAGATGTGCCACCTGTTCCTAAAGCCAAAAACATTACCGATTTTAACAAGGACTTGAGGCCAATATCCTTAACCTCAACATTGTCAAAAATTGCAGAAAACCTCATAATCGAGTATGAATTAAAATCTAAACTACTAAGAAAGATGGACCCAATGCAATTTGGCTTTATCCTAGGGTCAAACACGACTCTTGCGCTTATTTCAATGATGCATACCTGGCTAGATGCACTTGATGGGACGGGTTCTACAGTAAGAGTCGCTCTACTTGATTATCGCAAAGCCTTCGACCTAGTCGACCACAATCTACTTGTTGCAAAACTATCCGATTATGAAATAAAGCCAACGGTTGTAAATTGGATAGCTGACTTTCTTCGTGGTCGAACTCAGAGAGTTAAAATAAACTCTGTGTACTCAAATTTTTTACAAGTTCCTGCCGGTATTCCACAGGGAACGAAAATCGGTCCCTGGCTATTCCTAGCAATAATAAATTATCTATGTATTACAAAATCTCCGACTAGCAACCTGTGGAAATTTGCAGACGATACTTCGGTTTCCGAAGTTATTCCAAAAGATGGTGTTAGTTCCCTGCCAGATAAAGTAGACGAAGTAAATAAATGGTCGAATGACAACAAATTTCAACTGAACCCTGGTAAATGTAAAGAGCTGAGGATAAACTTTACCACGCAACCATTTACTGAGGTACCCCTAAATATAAACGGGAAGCCATTTGAAATTGTAAAATCCGCAAAAGTTCTGGGCATGATAGTTACCAATGATTTGAAATGGAACAAACATGTAAGCAATACGGTGGAAAAGGCTTCTAAGAGACTTTATTTATTCAACACAATATGTACAGTAATAAACAGGATATGTAAACATATATAGGTACATACATATATTTATAAATATATATATATTCGTATATTTTCACTTTGTAAATTCAATAGTAATTCAGTCGCAAGACTGTAAATATTGATACAATTAAACGTCAATCTATCTATCTATCTATCTATCTTATTTGATATAGAAATCAGTTCCCAGAAATCATTCATGCTGCCTATTCATATGTGATTGAGAAAACTGCTACATATCTTCAAGAGCCCCTTGTAGAGACTGGACTTCCACCACACTTTAGCATGGCGATTGATAAGTCAACTCCTCACAGGGACATTGACCAAGCAATTATTCTGATTATCCCATCCAATGGAAAACGTGTAGCTGTACCTGTCGATGCTCCGATTGTTTATCATGTGTCTCCAGATTCTGGAAATGTGCAAAGTGGGAATCATGATGAATTGGCTCAACAAGTTGTGACGGTGTTGTCTGAATAATTGAAAATTGATCAGAAACAGTTGCACTTTCTTAGAGGTGAAGCCTTGATAATATATTTCATCTTTTTATGTATATATGCACAGGTGAAGGTTTTTTCTAGGTGCTCTATTTTAGGTATCCAGACATACTGTTAGTACAGTTTTCTAGGTACTATAGCATGTACAGTAGGTAATACGTATGTATGCAAATTGCACGAAACGTCGTAGAGTACACATCCAAGTACAGACAGTGGGAAAATTTTAAATCTGATTTTCTACAGCCCTTCATGCAGATGGCCAGTATCATACCAAAAAGTTTCAGAGAAGCCTTTTTGGCCTTATCGGAGAAGCTGACTCGCCTGTTGATCCATACTTTGTTTTGTCTTGGGATGTGTCACACTGGCTTGATCTGTTCATGGTTTTTCTTCGTGAAGAATCCACTTCATCTCAGTTTCTAAAAAGTTTTATCAAGAGGTCCAACCGCTTTCATACTATGTTTGGGAGTGGATAAGGACACATTGAATACAAAAGTCTTGCTGCTTCCGTGGGCCTGAAAGCCTTGGATACAGTTACGTTTGCAACAACGCGATTCAAAAGTTCGTCATACGAGCAATGGGAGAAAGTTACGTTAGCTACAAAGCTCTGATATAAGCATTTATCGAAAATCGTGAGAATTCGGCTGACGAAAAAGAAGAAACCAAGTATCAGGCACGTGGTAGAGACTATGTGATTGATCTTTGTGGCACACTGGATGTTTTGAAACCTGCAGTAACATTGATGGTGCGGTGTCAAGCAGTAAATCTTCCTCCTTGGAAAATAGTTGGCTGGTTCCCAGTAGTCACTGAAAGCCTGACCACAATTGAAAAGAGCCTTGAAAATATGCTAACGGGAGACAAGCCTGTTTAAAATGTTCTTCCAAGATTAATAAGCAAGCACTGGGATGGACTATCTCGTGAAAAGGCGAAGGATTGCCTTTTTCTTACGACACTTCTTTTAGAAGGATGGTTAGTTGTTGGACAAGAGAAAGTCGAAGAGCGATTGGAATCGGGTCAAACCACTGTGCCAACAATGTATAACAGGGGTGCGAGAACTCCAACTGAATGTATTGAAGATCTGATAGTGGCAGTGCTGTGTAGAGAGCTTAAGAATGGTTTACAAAGCCGTTAATACGATAAGATTGTTAATGCTGAATTGGCTATCCTCTTTCAAGCATTTGATTTAGAAGAGATAGCTTGTGGACTTTCATGCTTCAGATTTGACCACGAGAAACTTGTGATCAGCGTGGAAGACCGAATTTCGTGGGAAAATAAGTTTTTGGTTAATGAAACACAAACAGTGCTCAATACCATATAGATCGAGCGTAATATAGTTCTTTGTTTTACCTCAAATAAAGCCACAACAGCCTGTTTCATCCGTATAGGAATCCTACGGATGAAACAGACCGTTTTGGTTTTTATAGTTAAAACGAAAAATTTTGTATATATATATATATATATATATATATATATATATATATATATATATATGTACTATTTAAAACACGAGTAGGAGTGTTTTATCAGATATATAACGCGAGGCGCAGCCGAGCGTTATATATCTGATAAAACACGACAACGAGTGTTTTGAATAGCTTAAAATACGACTACAACAGAATGCTAATTAGGATGAACCATAGTATAATCATGCTAATTAAGATGAACAATTATATAATGCCACATGTGTTTTATCAGATATAAAGTCACTCCACGTGACATATTATGGCTGACATGACTTGCCGCAAGGTTTATGAAATATTAATGAGTATTATATATATATATATATATATATATATATATATATAATATATATATATATATATATATATATATATATATATACCGCTTGTTATAGTCATAACGATAAAACGAGCTACCATGTGTATGAACCAGCGACCAATAAAACGTAGAGATATCCATCTGGGCGGATTTGGCAGCGAATTGCATGAAACGCGTATTCAATACAAAAATTTGAATATGCATAATCAATCATTATCGTCTAAAGGTATTCAACATCAAGAAATAAACATACAATGGATATGGGGACCATACAAATCTAGGGATTAGACGTCAGAGTCAATTCTAATGAGAACGTTGTTTATTATTAATATTGTTAAGCACCAACAGGTGAAAGTAACATTTTATTGTCATTATGTATAATCATTACAATGGTCTTAATTGGCAACTGTGTGTTTGTAATAACAATAGAATTCATATCACGTTCATTTAACACAAATGTCTTTTCAAGTGAGCACAACAAAATATGTGGGATATCAAGCAGGAATATCCTTCAACCCTGGATGGCCCCCCGTTTAAGCAGCGTGGAATGTATGTTTGCAACGATGTTTCACTGTAGGGCATTTAGGAGAAGATGGATTCGAAAATCTGCCAAAGGTAGTCGTCGATTTCTTGCCGCATACCTTTCACCCATCAAACGCTGAATTTCGCTGTCGGTGTTCTTGTGCGATTCTATTACGGCTGAACATGTCCATGTTGTGTTCCTACACCTTGTATCGACTGCGTACTCTATACAGATACATACAAACCACGCTCCGTATTTATATGTTTGTGTGGAACTGCTTATTGTTTATTACATGTATACAAAGTGCGCAGCATATATGTATATATATATATATATATATATATATATATATATATATATATATATATATATATATATATATATATATATATATATATATATATATATACTCTATA